CAAGAGATCAGCCAGGCACAAGACCCCCAATATGGAGCCTGTCTTGATCATGAAGCAAACGAAGCTTGAAGGTGAAAAGCAACAGCTTGCGGCCAGAGAGAAACGGCTTCGAGGTGACAAGAGACAGCTTGCGGCCAGAGAGAAACGACTTGGAGTTAGAGAGAGACAGCTTAGAGTTAAAGAGAGACAGCTTCGAGATGAAGAGGCAAGGCTTCAAGATAAAGAGGCAAAGCTTCGAGAGGAAATGAAGGAAAAGAAGCAGGCAGCCTTTACCTGGACAGAGTCAGAAGCTCGGCTTGACGGTATGGGGTTTTGCAAGGAGGAGAAATACTTCCGTCTAGATTGCTCTTACTTATGGGGCACAAATGTAAACAGCGGAGAGCATCTTCTTCTCTACTGCCGAAAAGCATTCCTGGAGCAGTTCCGTTTCCTGCAAGAGCAAGTGCTAGAGCATGGTGCTCTTGGATGGATACAAGGCTCTCCAGGAGCAGGGAAGACGACAGGGGTGGGGAGCAGAGGAGAGGAGAGGAGAAGGAGCAGGGAGAGGAAGGGGGGGGGGGGAGAGAAGTAGGAAGCTGCTCGCCTAAGAATGTATGTGATGTGATGAAAATCTCATCGATGTCGCGGGGAATGACCTGCAAACCTTTAGAGAAACGCTTGCCTTGCTGCTGCTGCTGCTGCTGCTGCTGCTGTCCTAGCTCCCCTCCTACTCCCGCGCTCCTGCTCCTGCTATCCTCCTGCTCCCCTGCTCTTGTCCTCTCCTACCTCTGCTCCAGCTCTCCTCCTACTTGAACTTCCGCCTTCCTCACCTCAATCTTCACGATGTGATGATCCGCGTGCCATTTCACCATCCACGTGAAGACTGGAGCTGCTGTTAGCGAGAGAACGGAACGAGACGAAAGCAGGAAGACAGCAACAAGAGCGATGTGACATGCAAGTTGATACATGACATGTTCAAGAATGCATGTGGGTACGTAACATATTCGGAACATGCATTCTCACACAACATCTTAAACATTGATCTATCAGATGTTGATAGCTCGAAATTCTCACATTCTTTCACAAGCATCATCGTGAACAGAACATTTCTCACCTATTGAAATCCCTCCTCCCAACAGAATCCACCATTTACTCATCAGCAAACTTGCCCCTAAGATCTTGAAATCCATATTGAGCAAGTTGATTATTGAAATGCTGTGACAAATCTCCGTCATCGAAACTTCCTTGCTTTTCACCTCCACTTTCCCCCCTCAAGCGACGGCAGGCAAGACAAGCAGGGGGGAGCAGTCACGCCTCTGATGCGGGTTTCCTGAGGCTGTCATGTTCAACGTTGTGCGATGATGGGAGACGAAGCTAAAGAAAGGAGAAGAGAGAAAGAGAGAGAGGAGAAGAAAGACAGGAGACAAGGCGATGACTGTAGGGGAGGAATGAAAGTATGATAGCGCGCGGACCTGTCTAGATATCTTGTGAGAGCTGAGAGAGGATGCTAGATGAACGAGTCGAGAGCCGCTCGATATCCGTCAGAGACAAGAGCAGCCATGAGAGGAAACAACTCCCTCGACCGGTGAGCTCCTCGCCATCGTCTCATCTGCTGCTCACGTCTACCAAGCAGCTCCCGCATGTCCTATGACTGTGTGACGGACAAGCGAAGAGCCAAGGCAAGCTGCCTCTCCAAGGTGACGCCTGCCCGCCCTCTCGAGATGATGCTGACGCACGAGCATCGCGAGCAGACGATCTCCGCGGTCCTCACGACCGAGCAGGAGTCATGGTGGATGTCGAGGATACGCGAGATGTCGTGCAAGGATCTCAAGAGCATGGTCAGGATCTCAGCGCTAGAGCAACAGGTGACGAGGTCGACGGCTGTGGCGGAGACGATGCTGATGGGGGTGCTGCAGCTTGTGAGCGAGCAGACCAAGATGAAGATGCTGGAAGAGAAGCTGAGGTGCGACAGGAAGCTGCTTGCACGAGCAATGCCGTGTGCTTGCTCTGCCTACAGGGCTGACATGCTGCTGCATGGCAAGAAGCGCTTGCCGGAGCTGACATGGCTGTACAGGTCTGCAGGCCTCCAGGCAGAGGAGAACAAGTCGTTTGACATGACTCAAGTGCTGAAGATGCAGGAGGAGTGAGTTGGTGGCGGCAGGGGTGATAAGCTTGTGATGGCGAGGAATGATCAGCCGTCACAAGCAAGAGATGAAGAGGCTGCGAGAAGAGTCGCAAGGCCGCGTCGCTTGTCTCAAGGCGAGTCTGCGCTCCTTGCGTGCTGTGCGGCGACTTAGCTGGAGGAGGACGAGAGGGAGGAGATAGGCAGGAAATGATGAGCAGCAGCAGCAGCAGCAGCAGCAGCAGCAGCAGCAGCAGCAGCAGCAGCAGCAGCAGCAGCAGCAGCAGCAGCAGCAGCAGCAGCAGCAGCAGCAGCAGCAGCAGCAGCAGCAGCAGCAGCAGCAGCAGCAGCAGCAGCAGCAGCAGCAGCAGCAGCAGCAGCAGCAGCAGCAGCAGCAGGAGCAGGTGTAGAAGCAGGAGCAGCAGCAGTGGGTGGATGCTTGTATGCAGCAGGAGATCGAGCGACTGAAAGGCCTCGAGCTCGAGCTCGAGCAGCAGACGTCAAGGTGCGATCGATTGCCGTTGCAGCCGTTAGTTCGAGGTTACGGCTGCAACAGAGGCGACGGGCTGGAAGAAGACAAGACAAGGCTGAATGGGAGGCTGGAGGAGATGGAGGGAGAGATGGAGAGCAGGAGGCAGATAGAAACGCAGCAAGGAGAGCAGATCGCAAGAGCTCTTCACGACCTCAACGTGACTTGACAAGTACACCGCACACCCCAGCTGACATGAGCGCGTCAGCTCTGCCGTCAGCAGGTCGAGGACCTGAGGAGCTCAAGCTTGTTGCATGTGATACCTCATAGTGCCTGTCGTGCTGGGCGAGACGCGCGTGTGAAGTTGCGTGTCTGCAAGGAACAAAAGCTGGAGGAAGCGGAAGAAGCGATGAAGGAGGTCGAGCACAAGCTACAAACATCAGAGAGCATGCGGGTGAGGTGGAGGAGAGGTGAAGGGTGCTGAGGATGAGACGAGGGTGTTGTTGGTGTGCAGGAGGTCAACGTAGAGGAGCTGGAGAAGGCGCGACAAGACAACCAGGTCTTACAGCAGAAGAATGAGATCTTGAGCAACGTCTTGGAGAGCTTGCAGGAGGATATGCGAGGGCTGCAGGTCTTGTGCGGGAGGAGAGGACATGTTGTTGTGGTAACGAGAGAGCGAAGGTGGAGTATGCGGAGATGAGGGAAGGGAAAGCTGCTTCAGACGGCAAGATTGTAGAGCTGGTAGAGTGTTGGGATGAAGAAAGGCTGTGGTGATGAGGGAGTGCTGTCAGATAAGACAGTTTCAACAAGAGAAAGATGAGTATGCTGAGGCGATGGAAGAGAGACTGAAGGTGACGTGCAAGGAGGCATGAATGATGATTGTATGGATGGAGATGATGATGATGATGATGATGATGATGATGATGATGATGACGATGGAGATGATGATGGAAATGATGATGATGATGATGGAGATGATGTAGATGCAGATTCAGATGACGATGATTACGATGATGATAATTCAAATGATGACGACGATGAGGGAGATGATGTAGATGATGATGATGATGGAGATGATGATGATGGAGATGATGATGATTACAATGCTGACGATGGGAGCAGCAATCTGAAGAGAGAATCTCCCAGACTTTGAAGGAACTACGTCAGGTACATGTCGTGTCGAGACTGATGTGCTCGTGGCCGCACTAGCTGAACCACAGACAACAGAGCGAGAAGAAGATGTCTTCTTACACAAAGCACAACTCTCATCTTCGAGGTGAAGAGAGAGAGAGAGGTCAGGAGGATCGTGATGGATGACGACCACCATCACAGACGAGATCTCGTGTTTGACGCGTGCTCTCCATGTGCTGACGACATTGCAGCTCGGTGAGGAGGAGGGGAGAAACCCTGGGGGAGGCAGAGAGGGAGAGGTAGAGGAAGGGCCAAGGTTTGAAACCTGTCTGCAGATGTCGACGAGCAGATTTCAAAGCTTGAGGGGATGATTGTGAAACAGGCAAAGATATTCGACATGAGCAGGGGTTGGAGCTTCAAGGCATGACATTGTGAGCAGGAGGGATTGATAGAGAGCTTGAAGAACGTCTACGTGAGATGTAGTAGATGTCTTGGTGAGAGCTGATAGGTTGTCTTGCAGTCTTACCATCAGGCGAAATATCAGAACCTCGTCCGTGAATATCACTTGCTCTTCAACAGAGTCAGTCGTCTCCTCCATCCTCCTCCTTCTCCATCCTCCTGCATCCTCCTCCTTCTCCTCCTCCTTCTCCTCCTCCTTTCACCTCCTTCTCTCCTCCACTACTGCATACGACCTTTAAGTTTTCTATCGAGGGGAG